TGAAATATTTGGCTGATGTCCAAACACGAGTTGTATTGATGAGTATTGGTGGTTGGCTATGGGTCTTAGTTGAACCAATGATGCTGCAGTAAGATGACATGTCCCCATACAAAGATTGGCAATTTCGTTTTCATGAGCAGAGTGCGGGCTATTAATTGAAACCGCTTGATAAATGCCTCTGCTAAACCATTTTAGGTATGGACATGAGGAACAGGATGTTGAACATCAATGCCTAGTGCCATGCAGTAATCATCAAAGGTTTGAGACGTAAATTCACTAGCATTATCAAGTCGAATGGACTTAATGGGATGATCTGGGAACTGTGCTCGCAACTTAATTATCTGAGCAAGAAGTCTCGCAAAAGCTATATTTCGAGTAGACAATAGGCAAACATGTGACCATCGGGTAGATGCATCAACCAAAACCATAAAATATCGAAATGATCCATAAGGTGGTTGAATAGGTCCACAAATATCCCCTTGAATTCTTTACAAAAATGATGGGGATTCATCATCAACCTTTAGTTGTGATGGTCTAATTACCAACTTCCCTTGGGAACAAGCCTTGCAAGGGTTATCATTTGAGACATCAATGTGTCTGCTCAATAATAGATGTCCATTAGAGTTGGTAATGATTCTACGCATCATGGTAGATCCTGGATGACCCAGACGGTCATGCCAAAGCATGTAAATCTTTGAATCAATGAACTTCTGGTTCATGACAGTATATGCCTCAACTGTTTTTATGTATGTATAATACAATCCACTCGATAAACCATGCAACTTCTCCAATATACGCTTCTGGGTATCATTGGAGATAATGCATAAATATTCCAGATTTTCTACACTTTTTGTTTCAATGTGGTATCCATTTAGACGTATGTCTTTAAAACTCAACAAATTTCGAATGGATCGAGTAGCGTATAATGCATTCTGTATGCACAATATTGTTCCATTTGGTAACATAATCTAGGCTTTTCCTGAGCCTTCAATTACATCTTATTGCCCTGATATTGTTGTTACCTTTACTTTTGCAAGTACCAAATTTGAGAAATACTTTCGATCTCGAAGTATTGAATGCGTGGTTGCGCTGTCTGCAAGACAAAAGTCTTCACCATTGCTCTTGTTTTGAGAATAACCATAATTTTTATCCATGTTCTCTGAGTAAAGAAATTACATTTAAAAGCAGTTTATTCATACTGAAATACTACTTTATTGAATTGAAAATGCGAGCATTAAACCACAAGTACAAATAACAATAGTACATTAAACATAAATGATTCAATCGGACCCATAAACTTCATTCCTTCTTTCAATAATAAAGTCTGAAGCATCCAGGTGGGTTATGTTCAACTGTCCTGATAAATTAGTCTTTGGATCATGTGTTTCCATTGGTTGAGCCTGGTAGAGAAAATTCATCTCGACACCCTTCTCCTTGAATGAGGCTTGATACATATCCATTAGATGTTTTGGGGTGCGACAAGTACGCGCCCAATGTCCATTGCCACCACACCTATGGCAAACTCCTTCAGGATTTCTAAAAGTGTTCATATGAGCTTTTCCTTTCTGGCGATTTGAATTTTTAAAGCTCGGGCTTGGATTATGCCTTGGAACCTGGTTGTGAAACTGGACACCATGGTTCTTGCGTTTCCCCTTCCCACCGGCCTTGCTTGTGGCCACGTCCTCGTTTGTAATTATTGCCACGAGAGGATATAGTATTCCCTTCAAGGGAAGTAGTATTCACTTCTGGGAACAGTGCTGATCTGGTCGGTCGAGACTGATGATTTTTCATCAGGAGCTCATTGTTTTGTTCAGTTACCAAGAGCACAGATATCAGCTGCTTGTATTCAGTGAAGCCTTGCACTCTATACTGCTACTGCAGGAGCACGTTAGAGGCATGAAATGTGCTGAAAGTCTTTTCCAACAAATCTTCCTTAGTAATAGTATCCCCACAAAGCTTCATCTAAGATGTAATTCTGAACAACGCAAAATTATACTCTGCCACTGACTTGAAATCTTGGATCCTTAGGTGAGTCTATTCATAGCGAGCTCTTAGAAGAATCACCGTTGTCTGGTGATTATATCTGTTTCTCAAGGCCTTCCAGAGGGCTAACAGATCTTCAACCGTTAAGTACTCGCTCTTTAGTCCCTCATTAAGATGGCGATGAATAAAAATCATGGCCTTCACTCGATCTTGAGAGGATGAGATGTTTTCTTCCCTAATGGTATCTCCAAGATTCGCTGCTTCCAGATGGATCTTGGTATCCAATACCTAGGTAAGATAATTCTTCCCAGTAATGTCCAGGGCAACAAAATCAAGCTTTGCCAAATTTGCCATTTTCTTTTCTGAAATAAAAATGAGGTGTGTAAAAACTTGCAATAATATGTGTTCTGAAGGAATATATTGTTAGAACTTCTGGTTCTTACAAATTTTTGATCTTCAGGCCAAAATGATAAGTACTCGAATCTTCAGGCTTGAGTATTACATGATTAATGAGAAGGGCAATTGTACCGCACCATTCGCATCGAAACAAGTATAGGATGGGCGATTTTTTCACACCACTTTAAATAGCAGGAAAATTTAAATATACATAGCAGGGTGGACGATTATACCGCACCACCTAAAAATTACGATAAAATTTAAATATGCAGAGCAGGGTGGACGATTATACCGCACTACCTACATTGCGATAAAATTAAATATGCAGAGTAGGGTGGACGATTATACTGTACCACTTAAATTGCGATAAAATGAAATAGCAAGTAAATTTAAATATGCAGGATAGGTTAGGCGATTATACCGTTCCACTTAAAATTTGAAGTAAAATTAGATCTGCAATCCAAGATAAGCGATGATACCGCACCATCTTGGATTGCATAAATAAACACTGGGTTAGTAGTCAAGAGTTACACCAAACAAGAAATCAAAAATATAAGTAATTGTTAGGTTGAGAACTAGAAGTAAACATGGTGCAAACAGTTCTTCGCGAAGGTATATCCAGCAATTGAGGCACAGGAAGAAGAAGAACAATAAAAACCTTAGAGCAAACATTTTTTTTTTCGGTGAAGGGAAATGAGAAATGATTAGAGAGTCGTGCTGATAACGTGTTATAAATAGGTAAAATTTAGATAGATAACCTTTACTAGGAACATGAGCAAAACAGTTGCAAAATATTATACCAACATAAGCTGTTGCAAAGGAAGTAATGTATATTATTGCTATGTTGGTATAATATTGGTAGGGCTAATAATAATCCATCTAATTTTTCTTTGAATGAATAGCAACAAACTATTCATGTAGTGCTCTATTTATAGAGCAACCTCATAGGAAACAAACAAATAACACTATTAAACTTGTGAAAGAGTTACTATATACATGTGAGCAAACATACCCACTATTTTACAACAATATGAATAATAATCCATCGGATTTTCCTTTGGATGAAATAGTAATGAACTATTCATGTGGGCTATCCACATATTATATTACAATACTTAAGTATATTACAACTTGTTTTTTTTAGTCCTACCAATTTTTAGATTCTTTCCTCAAGAAAGTATAAATAAATCAATATAATCTTCTTTATGTTGTAATATAAAATGTGGATGGCCCACATGAATAGTTTGTTGCTATTCATTCAAAGAAAAATTAGATGGATTATTATTCATATGAAGAAAAATAGATATGTTACTATTCATGCACAATATTTCATGATTCATTTAAGGAAAGTTTGTATAGTGAATAGTATTGCTATAATAATCTTTTGCGGCTTTGCCTATAAGATGAGAGCATACAGAGGAAGGAGAGAAGAAGAAGAAAGAGATGAGAGTAAAATATACAGAGGAAAGAAAGAGGATTTACGAAGGAAAGGAACAGAAAAGAAAAGAAGAGAGATGCGGAAGAAATTACCAGTGAGCCAGGCTAGAAAGAAAGGACAAAATAGTGAAAGTTATTTTGTACTCCTATTATTTCACATAATGAAAGAAAGTACTACTGCTGCTCCGAAGTCTTATTTACTTTATGTTTCACTGCACACATACCGTCGATTTTACAACTCGTTATCAGCACAACAAGCTCTTGTGTCAATGGAAAGCACAACCCCATAAATCCGGTGAAGCACTACCTACCTCTCAGATTGTGTCTTATTTACTTAAGTATTGTAATATAATATGTGGAGGGCCCACATGAATAGTTCATTACTATTCCTCTAAAGAAAAATTAGATAGATTATTATTCATATGAAGAAAAACGGATGGGTTACTATTCATGCACAATATTTCACTATTCATTTGAGGAAAGTTTGTAAAATGAATAGTGTTGCTATAGTAATCTTTTGCTTATAAGATGAGAGCATACAGAGGAAGGAAGAAGTGAGAAGAAGAAGAAAGAGATGAGAGAAAAACATACAGGGGAAAGAAAGAAGTTATGGAGGAAAATGAAAAGGAGAAGAAAGAAGAGAGATGTGGAAGAAATTAATAGTGAGCCAGGCTAGAGAAAAAATAGAAAATACTGAGAGTTATTTTGTACTCCTATTATTCCACATAATGAAAGAAAGTATTACTGCTACCCTGAGGACGTATGCACACTTACCGAACATCGTAAATATTGTGTCTTATTTACTTTATGTTTCACTGCACACATACCGTCGATTTTACAACACTTATTAAAACATTAATATAATTTTTATATCTTTCATTTATTGTAATTATTTGTCATATGAATAATAAAGTATTTAGTCTCCACCTAATTATATTATGCTAATGTCTTTGTTTCCTCCTCTAATACACTGCTAACATCTTCTTATTATTATGGTAATTTTATATACGTACTGCCTTATTTTTCTACAAAATATATCATATCCTAAATTAATTAGGGAGCTTTATATATAGAGACAAAAAATTTCACTATATTCTAAGGAACTCCACTAGTTTCTAGATATGTCAAGGAGAGACAAAAACATAAAAACAACTAAAGCTCAACCCAAAAACATGGAAACAATATTTTAAAATATCAGTCATACCCATAAGGCTTTAGAATTATTAATAAACTTATTAATTCACAACTCCAACAAAATTAATATGTGTCATAAGCTAAACTCATCCTCGATCATTTTTGCAGAATCAGTTCAACCCATCTTTGACAATTTTCGCAAAATTAGTTCAACTCATCCTCGACCATTTTCGCATAACCAATTCAACCGGTCCTCGACCATTTATGCAGAATCTGTTCAAACTGTCCTTGACAATTTTTGCAAAATCAGTTCAACACGTCGTCGATTAATTATACAGAATCAATTCAACCCGTCCTCAACCATTTTTGCAGAATCAGTTTAACCCGTCTTCGACCATTTTTGCAAAATCTTCAACCCGTCATCAACCATTTATGCAGAATTAGTTTAACCCATCTTCAACCATTTTTGTAGAATCAATTCAACCCGTCCTCGATCTCTATGCATAATCAGTTCAACTCATCCTCGACCATTTTTGCAAAATCAGTTCAACCCATCTTCGACCATTTTTTCAAATCAGTTCGTCGTCCTCTACTATTTTTGCAGAATAAATTCAACCCGTCCTCGATCATTTATGCAAAATCAGTTCAACCCGTCATCGACTATTTTTGTATAATCAGTTTAACCCCTTAAACCCGTCCTCGACCATTTTTGCAGAATCAGTTCAACCCGTCTTCAACATTTTTTTGCAAAATCAGTTCATCCCATCCTTGACCATTATTGCAAAATTAGTTTCAAATAATTTGACCCTAGTAAAAGTTAACTCAATAACACAGCTGTTTTAATCTAGGTAAATAGTGAACAAAGAGAGATCCTTAAATCCAAAGTAGAAGTCTCGTTCCATCATAAAAACCTTACAAAAAGAACAATAAATGCTATCTTAATTTTTCCAGTACCATGAACAATAAAAATGAACAAGAAGAAAATACAAAAATCAGTCATTTTCCATTAATTTGTAAAAAATAAAATATATATTGTTTGGTTTGTTTTACCAGATCAGAGCAAGTGACAAAGAAATGTACTTAAATGAGTTTGCAGTATTCATAAGCATAGATACTTTGCGTCCATTAAGGGACAAAAACATTTCTATTTTTTAATATTTCATATTCTAATTGGCATAGCAATATAGGATTAAACTTGAATACAAAGTCAGTGATCTTGGAGACGATGGCAACCTTGTGCTCATGCAAATTGGAATCCCATATGCAAATTGGAATCTGATAGTAATTTCCATATCAGTTTTTACCGAAGCTTGTTCATTCAACTTTCTCTTTGTAATCAAACAAAAAACAACGAATCGTCAACAAAAAAACTCCATGATTCAGAGAAAATCAACCAAAAATTTAAAAATTTCATATCAAAACCTGCAGTTAGCTTCAAAATCGCAAAGCTTACCGTAGTGATCAAATTGGGAGGACGTGAAGAGTAGGAGAAGGTCTTTGGAGTTCCTGAAATTGATTTGGATAGGGACTTGAGTTAATTTGGAGAGGAGATGGTGAGGATGGAAAAATTGAGATTGAGATGGCGATGAAGGGAAATCGGGTCAATTTTTTTAAGAGAGAGAAATAAGGGAGCAACATATGAATGAGATAGAAGAGCGAAAAGATTTTCCCACTATAAAAGGGTATTTTCGTAAGTTACACTCCACATAAAAAAAAAAGCCAATAATATCATCTTCCACATTTATTAACTTTTGTTTTTCCTTGAAATGTTTAAAAAAATATTGTCTCAATATATAATTAAGTATCAAAAGTATACCATATGTGTAATTTTTCCAATTGATTACTAGATATTTTTGTTAAAAATGATTTTTATTAAACAAATGATATTATTTACATCAAGACCATCTCCAACCCTTTGGGTTAAAACTTAAAATTATTAACTAAGAAACATGTTTTCTGCTCCAACCCTTTTGAGTTAAATTTTTAGCTCAAGATCATTAAAGAATGAATTTAGGATTCTTAAAATAACTTTTTTAAAAGAAAATTATATTGACTATGTTAATTTAATTTTATGAATATTTGAATATAAAAATATTTAGATTCCGATAAATATTGAAAAAATCACTAAACTGACACCATGAAACTTGTGGAACACTATGAAAGAATATGAAACACATGAAAGATATTTTTTTAATTATTTTAGCTATTGAATTTAAATTTAGACCGTTAGATCTTTTTCTTTACAGTTAGATTTGTTCATAGTAGACTTTATCCATTGAATTCAATGAATTTATAAATATAAAATATAAAAAAAATTACACATATATGGTGGGTCAACCCACTAACCCTAAGGGAATTCTATGCTAAATTTGCCCAAAAAATGAGTTTTGGGTTAAATCTAATATTTGACCCAAGGGTTGGAGCAAGTTGAGGTAAGTTTAAAACCTAAAATTTTAGTTTTACTCCAAGGGTTGGGCTTAGCTTCACAATGGACTAACAATAATGTAGTTCAAATTCACATTTGGTAAGAATCGAAGCTAACCTATCACTCACAAGTGAAGATTAATACCACTAAACCGTAGCAATAATGTGGTTCAAATTTGCATTTGATATAAAAAATGATATTTAAAACCTTAAGTTTCATACTTAGTTCAGTTTGAGCTCACATTCATTTGATATGTTTTGTAAAAATTTCAAGAATTTGAGCTGTGAGCTCAATCCAAACTTAATTGTTCTTCAACTGGCTCCCACTCAATTGAAGAACAAGTATTTTCCACAATGAATGAAATTGTTCAGGCATACACCCGGTGACTCACACTAAATTTTGTGGTAGATTCTTAAGTTTTCAAATTTTAGTTACTTAAACGTCTAATTACTGACTTCGTCATTGAACACGTGAATTAAGGATAACGTTTAGGCATCTCAAGTATTACCTATGAATTAAGGGAGTTTTAATGAAAAATATTGAAAAATATATTTTCATTTTACTCAATCAAATAAGATTACAATCTGAATGTATATATACACCTGTGTAGACTAACTAACTCATAACAAATAACAACTTTCCTTAACCTCTAAGTATTATCCCTTGATAGTGTATTGACAATATTACCCTTAATATCCCCCCTCAAATGAAACTGAGGGACCCGAAGTTGAAGTTTGTCTCTGAGAAACAAAAATCATGCTGCAGGTAAGGATTTTGTACAGATATCAGCCACTTGGTCTTGGGAGCAGATGTAGTGAAGGGAGATGTGCTTGGCAACTACTTTTTCACGGATGTAATGATAATCAAGCTCGACATGCTTGGTCCGAGCATGAAAAACAGGTTTCTTGGCAAGGGATATAGCAGATACGTTATCACACCAAAGTTAAGGAGAACAAGGCAGACAATAGCCAATGTCAGCAAGTAATTGACAAATCCAAGTGATCTCAGAAGCAGTGTTTGCAAGGGAGCGATACTCTGCCTCAATAAAGGAACGAGCAACAGTGGGTTGCTTTTTAGCGCTCCAACTAATGAGAGAATTACCCAGAAAAATGCAGTAACTGCCAGTGGATCTCCTATCTAACTCACAACCAGCCTAGTCAACATCGGAAAAGGCCTTGAGAGATGGAAAAGAGGAGCACTTCGAGAACCAGAGACCGTGATCAATGGTGCCCTTAAGATATCGGAGGATACGCTTGACAGCTTGGAAGTGAGAGACTTTGGGAGTGTGCATGAACTGGCATACAAGGTTGACAGCGAAACTAAGGTCCGGCCTTGTCCATGTTAGATATTGAAGAGCACCCACCAAGGACCTGTACTCAGAAGCATTGTCAAGAAGAAGAGAAGCATGATCAATCTTGTAGTGCTCAGTGGTGTGTTGCAGGGTTTTGCACCAACCATTTTGGCTTTGTTAAGCAAATCCAGAATATATTTAGTTTGGGAGAGGAAAATGCCAGTAGAAGAGCGCTTGACCTCGAGACCAAGAAAATAGTGTAAAGGACCAAGATCCTTAATAGGAAACAAATTGATGAGCTGTGTGATCACATGTTGACAATCAACAGAAGAGAGCCCAGTAACCAAAATATCGTCCACATACACGAGAATAAAGACCAAGGATTTGTCCTTTTTGACAAACAGAGAGTGGTCACTTTGAGAACCAACAAAGCCAAGAGAAGCAAGAGCAGCATGTAGTTTATCATACCAAGCTCGGGGAGCTTGGTTCAGACCATATAACAATTTATGAAGCTGGCACACATGATGGGGCTTGGTAGAGTCTGCAAAGCCGGGTGGTTGTTGCATAAACACGGATTCAGAAAGAGTGCCATGTAAGAATGCATTACTGACATCAAGTTGGTGCAGAAACCAATCAAATTGAGCAGCAAGGGTGAGTAAGAGGCGAATCGTCACAGGTTTAGCCACAGGGCTAAACGTTTCAGTGTAATCGATACCTTCCTGTTGGTGAAAGCCCTTGGCAACCAACCGAGCCTTGTAGCGATCTATGGAGCCATCAGGTTTTCGTTTGATGCGAAACACCCATTTGCAGCCAACTATGTTCTGTGAAGAATGATATGGAACCAGGGACCATGTTTGAGTATGAAGAAGAGCATTGAATTCCTCCTGCATTGCTTGGCGCCAATGGGGGTGTTTAGATGCTTGGAGATAGGTTGTAGGAATATAATCCAGAGACAAATGAGAGGGAAGATGATGATTTGTGGCAGTAAAAACTTTAGGTTTGTAAATGCCGGACTTAGAGCGGGTTTGCATAGGGTGAGTGTTTATGGAGGAAGAGGGTGGAGGGGATGGCGGTGGTGGTGCAGGAGGAGGAGGGGAGGAGGATGGGCCAGAGAAAGGAGATGAGGGTGAGGATGGAGTAAGGGATGTAAAAGTTAAGGAAGATGGAATAGCAGATGATGGACTTGCAGGTTGTAATGGGGAAGAAGGGGAGGAAGAGGAAATATCAGAAAATGGAAACTTGCTTTCATCAAAGAGAACATGTCGAGAGATGTATAGGCATCCTGTAACTGGATCAAGGCATTTGTACCCCTTATGATTGAGACTATAGCCCAAGAAAACACAGGGCTTGCTCTTAGCATCCAACTGAGAATAAGTATACGGCTTTAACCACGGAAAGTAGAGGCAACCAAAAACTCTGAGTGTACCATAACAAGGCAATGTCTTGAAAAGAGACTCCCAAGGTGAGGGCCGAGATAGAGTAGGTAACCTGTTAATGAGATAGATTGCAGCTGCAAAAACATCGACCCAATATAAGTGAGGAACTTTAGATGCTGCAAAAAGAGTCCGGGCAGTTTCCACAAGATGCCTGTGTTTGCGTTCAGCACACCCATTTTGTTCGGGTGTGTGAGGACAAGATAACTGATGCTGGATGCCATGTTGTGCCAAGAAAGTAGAGAATATAGTACTCATGTATTCACCACCAGAATCAGATCTCAAGGTAATAATTTTGGTGCACAGAGTATTTTCAACCAAAGATTTATATTTCATGAAGACTGATAGTACATCAGATTTGTATCTCAGAGGGTAGAACCAACAGTATCGAGTAAATCATCCACAAATATGACATAGTACCAGAAACCATCCTGAGAAGCTATAGGTGAGGGTCCCCAAATATCTGTATGAATGAGTTCTAAAGGTTTCGTGGTAGTACATGTAGTGGATACAAATGGCAATCTAGAACACTTTCCTAATGCACAGGCTGAGCAAAAAGAAGAGGTTTTATGTTGGAACACAGAGATACAAGATTGAGAAGCGAGCTTATTTAAAATCTTGACTGAAGGATGGCCCAACCGTCCATGCCACAGAGTTTGGGAAGCTTTTGGAGTAGCAGTAAGAGCTGTATGCTTGGCACCAGTGTGAGATGAAGGATAAAATGGATAGAAGCCATGCTGAACAGGACTTTTAAAACGCATCCTCCCCGAAGAAAGATCCTTCACAGTAAAGTGAGAGGGATAAAGATGCATAGAGCATTGATTATCAATAAGAAATTGATTTGCAGAGAGGAGATTATGCTGCAGATCAGGCACAAATAAAACATTTTTGAGTGCAAAATTACTATGTGAAGTGGTAATGGAAGAAGAGCCAGTGTGAATGATAGGCAAACCTTTGCCATCACCGATATACACTTGTTCCGGCCCTGTGTAGACTTCAGGATTTTGGAGAGTGGCATAGTTGTTAGTCATATGAGAAGTGGCTCCAGAGTCGACAATCTATTGAGAGGAGGAGTTGGAAGTGTTGGCAACCAACGCAGTTTGGGATGACTTGCCATTATAGTGAGGGTCAATGCGATGAGGACAGTCACAAGCCTCATGGTCAAATTGACGACATATTTGACAAGAAAGTTTCCTGTTGGATGCAAAATTGGACCGAGGGCCTCGATTTGAACGCTGATTGTTGCCTCGATTGAAAGTGGAGAATCGCGGATTGTTGTTCTGCCTGAAATTGCCACGAGAATTGTGGTTGCCTCGAGTAAAGTTGCGATCCAGTCCACGATTTTGATTGTGAAAAGAGAACGACTGCTGAGCAAAATAACCGTGAGAAATAGAAGGAACAGGCAGAGGAAGAAGACCAGTGGAGGTGTTGTAGGCCTGAAAGGAAGACACCGGTGGACTTTGCTTGCGATTG